TCGCCTGTGGAAAACATATTTAAATTCTCAATCACCAAGTATTTTAAGCATGACCAAAGAAATTTTACTCCCTTTAAATTTCAAAGGAGCAATACTACTTGAAGGCACTACAGGAAAAAATTCTTGAAATTATGGCATATGTACAATATGGAGTATGTATAAGGAAAAACGCTTTAGAATAGATATATTTTTAAGGTACCCTGAACTCAGATTCACATGTAAACTCTTTTCTGAGAACACACACACATAGATATTTAAAATACTCTTAATTGAGAGAAAGTCAGAACAGGCATCATTCAAAGTATGCCACTAAACTAGGATGGTTTTCATATTCAGGTATAAAAATGTGCCTTGAAATATGTATCGGTCAGTATTCTCCAAACAAAAAGAACCAGTAGGAGATTATAGAGATTGTATATGTATATGATGCCTTTGAATTATGGTGTTGGCCGAGAATATTGAATACGTCATGGACTGCCAGAAGAACAAACAAATCTGACTTGGAAGAAGTGCAGCTAGAATACTCCTTAGAAGTGAGGATCATGAGACTTTGTCTCACGTACTTTAGACATGTTATCAGGAAGGACCAGTCCCTGGACAAGGACATCATGCTTGGTAGAGAGTCAGCAAAGAAGAAGAAAATTCTCAATGAAATAGACTGATACAGTGGCTCCAACGATGGGTTCAAGCAGAACAACAATTGTGAGGATGGCACAGGACCAGGCAGTGTTTAATTCTACTGTACATAGGGTTGCTATGAGTTGGAACTGATTTCACAACACCTAACACCAACAACAATGTGTATACACACACACATATGTATGTATAAAGAGATTTATTTCAAGGAATTAGCTTATGTGATTGTGGAGGCTGGGAAGTCTGAGATCTGTAGGGCTGGCATCAGGCTGAAACTCAGGCAGGAGTAGATGCTAATGTCTGGAGGCAGAATTTCTTCTCTGGGAAATCTCAGTTTTTGCTTTTTTGGCCTTTCAGTGATTGGATGTAGCTCTCCCACATTATAAGAGGAATCTACTTTTCTTAAAGTCAACTGATTGCACATCTACAAAATACCTTCACAGCAACATCTAGATTAGTGTTTGATTAAATAACTGGGTACTATAGCCTAGTCGCTTGTCATGGATTGAATTGTTTTTCCAAAAAATATGTGTATCAATTAGTCTGGGCCATGATCCCCAGTATTATGTGATTGTCTACCATTTTGTCATCTGATGTGATTTTCCAATATGTTGTAAATCCTATCTCTATGATGTTGATGAAATGGGATTAGCGGCAGTTATGTTAATAAGGCAGAACTCAATCTACAAGATTGGATTGTGTCTTAAACCAATCTCGTTTGAGATATAAAACAGAGAAGTGAGCAGAGAGATGTGGGGACCTCATACTACCAAGAAAGCAGCTCCGGGAGCAGGGTGCATCCTTTGGACCCAGGGTGCCCTGTGCAGAGAAGCTTCTCGACTGGAGAAGACTGATGACAAGGACCTTCCTCCAGAGCTGACAGAGGAAAAACCCTTCCCCTGGAGCTGGCACCTTGAATTTGGACTTCTAGCCTACTAGACTGTGAGAGAATAAATTTCTCTTTGTTAAAGCCATCCATTTGTGGTATTTCTGTTGTAACAGCCCTAGATAACTTAGACACCACCCATCTGTCAGTTTGTCATACTGTAGTGGCTTGCATGTTGCTGTGATACTGGAAGCTATGCCACTGGTATTTCTTCCAGCAAGGTCGCCTTTGCTGGACAGATTTCAGCAGAGTTTTCAGACTAAGCCAATCTAGGAAGAAAGGCCTGGTGATCTACTTCCAAAAATTAGCCAATGAAAACCTTATAGACCACAACAGAATACTGTCCAATATAGTGCTGAAAGATGAGCCCCTTAGGCTGGGAGGCACTACATAATAGCCGCAACATGAACTCAAACCCGCCAATGATCCTGAAGATGGCGTAGGACTAGGCAAGGTTTCATTCTGTTATGCATAAGGTTGCCATGAGTCAAAACTCACTCGACAGCAAGTAACAACAACAACAAATAGCCTAGCCAAAATGATACATAAAACTAACCATCACAAAACACTTCTAGTACAATATCATTACACAATTGCATGCAATTGAATATTACATCATGATAACATATTCATACTGATAGTGGCTAGCCTTTCATTATAGACAAATTGGCAAACAACTTTAGAACCTGAATTAAAATATCCTTTAAAATTACTAAAAAGAAGTATGATACGTGCATATATAAGTGTGTATATATATGTTTGCATATATGTGTGTACATACATACATATACATATATATATGATTCATGCCTAAAAATATCCTAAGTAAGACATATATTTAACACTTCCTTCTATTTATTACACTGGACAAGGAAAAAGGGGCAAGATAGAGAAGTTAAAGATCTAATGAATTGCAGATAGAGTCAATGCAAATTCCATGGAGTAAGTAAAGATCTTTCTAATCTTTTAGTTTTTATCAACTTCTTTCAAAAATATAATTTTTAAATAAAGTAAACATAGTTAAATGCTAAAATCATTGTCAGCATTGAAAAAAATCAAGAATTTGCTTCCTTATGCTGTGGTAAATCATGATTTAAACAAAAACTACTTACAGAACTATTTTATAAGAAAAATGTTAAAGTCTGTATTAGTTATCTAGTGCTGCTGTAGCAGAAATACTGCAAGTGGGTGGTCTTAACAGAGATTTATTCTCTCACAGTCAGTAGGCTAGAAGTTCAAATTCAGGGTGCCAGCTCCAGGGGAGAGCTTTCTCTCTGTTGGCTCTGGAGGAAGGTCCTTGTCATCAATCCTCCCCTGGTCTAGGAGCTTCTCAGCACAGGGACCCCAGGTCCAAAGAATGCACTCCCCTCCTGGTTCTTCATTCTTGATGGTAGGAGATCCCCCATCTCTCAGCTTGCTTCTCTCTTTTTTATCACAAAAGATATTGACTCAAGATACAACCTAATCTTGTAGATTGAGTCCTGACTCATTAACATAACTGCCTCTAATCCTGCCTCATTAACATCACAGAGGTAGGATTTACAATACATAGGAAAACTACATCAGATGACAAAATGGTGGACAATCACACAATACTGGGAATCATGGCCTAGCCAAGTTGACACGTATTTTGGGGGGACGCAATGCAATCCATAACAAAGTCTAAGGGCCTCTCTTATGGGTAACTTCAGGTAATTAGGATTTTTCCCTGCACCTCGAAGCCCCTATTTCTCATTTGTTTACAGCATATAAATAATGTTTTATAATGTATTAATCTCCAGATATTTTTTTCCAAATCCTAGCTTCAGAACAAAGTTTAAAAAATATATATTGTGGGAGTTTAGCAAATCAATGGTGTCACCATAAATTATGTGTGCATAGTAAGCTTATACCTAAAGAAATCAATGATCTGGATATCCTCAATTGTTCTTTGGTTCTTAAACTCTTAGATTTCTGTAGGTATAATTCTCCCAGAAAGCAACATTTCTTTGCCAGACTGCAGGAGTACAATAATCTAGCACACAGAAGTGAATTCTGTTGTTTTAAACACATCACCATACATGTTTTACACTGCATGTCTTCAATAGAATACTCCCAAATTACCTCCTCTTCTGAACATACTGGAAGCAGATCGTGTGTGTGTGTGTGTGTGTGTGTGTGTGTGTGTGTGTGTATCCTGAAACGAATTCTTAAATCTCCCTTATTGGTATAAAACCACTGATACGCATGGTTTGGTTAAATTACCCCTGCTAGGTTTATTATCTACCCTTTTTCCCTGCTGTTAGCATGTGTAATTGTATGGTTTTAAGAACTTGAATGACTCACCATAAAGCAAGCTGAAAAAATAAGGGACAGATGTGTTTCTATGTATTTTTTGAGGGTTGCTAGGATGGGAACCCTTTTAGCTTATTTCGGAATCTCATCTCAGAGGTAGATTTTGCCTCCTTAGGGTACCTCTCCTTCCCAATCCTCAACCCCTCAACCACCAGAAAGATGGAATGCTCACACTGTAAATGCCACCCACCAACCTGATTGAGGGGGCAAACAATAATACAATGGCCACCCATCAGCAAGAGAAACGATTATTGCCATCTCCTCTGGTAAGGTTAAATGAAGGGGAACCTTCCTATGTACAAAAGATACAGCAAAGTGACTCCCTTCTCCTCTTCAAGTGATGATTAATAGGAGGCAGCCTAACAGGTCATTTGTGGTAAGAGATCATAAACAGAACTATGACTGTTGATCAGATTTCAAAACTTTTGTCTTGATCCTTTAACTGCATAGAAAAACCCACCCCGTAGTTAACATAACCAGAAGCAGGCAGGAGCCAAAAGCTTTAATGAGAAGGTCAAACTGGCAGCAAAAGAATTGAACTTTTACAGTTGCAGGGTCAGACAACTTGTCAACAAGGTTAGATTCTCGCTTTAACAGAAGCCCAGTAAACGCAATGTGAGTAAAAGATGTAGCATAGCACTGGCTGCTGGTAAAATAGTGCTTTATTTTTTAGTGAATATATTTTAATGGTGATTTCTAATTTTCAAAGCATCCAACATTTTATATTCAACAACCATGCATTGACTACCTTCTACCTGCCAGGTGCTGTGAAGACTGATGAGAGGTAAATAAAGTACAATAAGTCATTGTCCCTCTATTTTCTGTGTATACAATGTAGGTTTTCATCCTTGTTTTATAGAATTGGGCTACATAACAAAGGCTGAGTATGTAGTTCATTTGCCTACATTAGCACAATTAAAAACTGGCAGAGAAAAATTTCAAACCCAAGTCCTCTGACTTCCACCACAAAAGACCTCTTCTGTTAGGGAAACTCTCCCCACTTCTAATGCAATCCTGGAAGCCCTAAGGAGAAACCATTGGAAGAAGAAATGTTGAACTACAATGGGGCTACAGCATCTCTTCTCAGCTGAGGAAAGTGCACCCTAAACCTTGGCTGCTCTCCCTTTTCCTGAGTCCCTCAAGGGTTGGGGATAATGTTCCTATTTTTTCTGTGACTTTTTCTTGTAGTGTGACTCAGACCTTTTTTTTTTTCTTTTCAGTTAGCAATAATCGTGCCTCAGATAAACCTCATTGGCTACGATATTGCCACTGTGCAAAGCTAGTGACTCAGATATTTTGAAAAGAAAAGATCTGGCCCACAAATCTGGGAGAGACTCTGAAGGAAGCATCCTATCCGTCAAGTAAATCCACAGAAAGTGGGAAAAATCAACAAAGAGTTTCTCAGCAATGGAATCATTGAAGTTTGTAAAATAATTTTTTCAAGGAAACTCCAGTGTAGATCATATTATTACTCACTTCTCTGCCAGACAATGCATTTCAGGGGGTGATCGTTCTTCTGGAATAAACTATTATAATGTAGTTTAAAGTGTTATAATGTAGGTTTAATATATCATTCTTAGTGTGGTTTATGTTTCCTTATGCGTAGGAAATGCGAATTTATCGCTAACTTCCTCAATTTTCCTATATGTATAATTTAGTTTCAATAAAATCATGTATGCACAAAAGGCAAGTATGATATCTACCCATGAACAATACAGTCTCGTATATTTTTACTTAGCCTATTCTTTAATGTGGTTTAAATAGTTGGTATTTGTAACAGCTTTATTGAGATGTAATTTAATACCATACAATTCACCTATTTAAAGTGTACAATTCAATGGCACTTAGTGTATTCACAGAGTTGTACAACCACCACCACAATTTTAGAACATTTTCATCACCCCAAAAAGAAACTGCACCCCTTAGCCATAACATCCCCAGAACTCTCCAGCCCAAGGCAATCACCTGTATATTTTATTTGTCTATTGTTTTGTCTATTCTGGATATTTCATTTAATGGAATCCTACACTATGAGGAATAGTTCATATTCTTAAAATAAAAAAGAAAATATTTCATCTGAAGCCTGAGGGGGGGATAAAAAAAAACTGTCAATTCATAAACTAGTTAAATAATATCATAGACTTTGTTATAACATCTATGATCTATTAACTATGGGAAGATCATTCTGAATGCCTATAGCAAACATTGCACGCTTGCTGGTGAATATCAATTTCTCTGCCTCTGATTTTGTTGTTGCCTTGTGCTGCTTGTGTACAATATTTCAATTTGTTTCATTTCTAAGCAAAATCTTGGTTTACTTAAATATTCTGACAAGTTTGTTTCCCCTCTTAAGCTGAATACCGTATCTTATCCCATTTTCTCCTCTGTCACTGCTTTCTCTGCCACTCACTCCCACAGGACCCTAATTTAGGGGAATTTCTGACTTTTTCCCGCACATAATTTTCCTCTTTAAATCCTGGTTTTTAGAAGCAGTAGGAGATTTTGTGAAGGCATTGAGAAGAGCAATTGAAAAGCTGTGAACAACCCTTTTTATTGAAAGTAAGAGGAGTGTTTGAGCTCTGTTAATACATCTTCAGTTGCTCTTCCCAAGATAGCAAAGGATCCTTAAGGAGCAAGTTATCATCCAGGTGCAGTTACATGGTTTTAGGATACTTTGATTTCACTCTCTTAGCACAGGTAATCCCTGCCTAGCTTGTTTTGCTTGGTTGGTTTTGTTTTGTTTTAACAAGGCAAAATGTAAAAATGTACAATTCAATGAGATCTGAAAAAAAGGTCAAAACCCCTATGACCACAACAATCAAGACAGAGAACATTTCCTTCACCCCAGAAAGCTTCATTGGGCTCATATTCAGTCATCCTCACCCCTCTGTACAGGCACTCATTGTTCTGATTTCTACTATTACAGATTAGTTTCCCCTGTCCTTGAGCTTCTTATACATTGAATCATAGTATATACTCTTATGTCTGGCTTCTCTCAGACAATCTAATATTTTTGAGACTTTCCCATGCTGTTGCCTGAATGAGTAGCTCATGCCTTTTTTTTATTCTTAAGTAATATTTCACTGTATGAATATATTGTTTCTTACCCATTCTCCAGTTGATCTACAGTTGCAGTGCTTCCATTTGGGGGGCTATAATGAATTCAGCTGCTATGCAGAGTCTTGTGCAAGTCTTTCTGCTTTCTGTGGAGAGTGTTTTCATTTCTCTTGGGTAAATTCCTAGAATGGTTAGTCTATTGTATAACTTTATTTAAAAAGTAAAACATCAGTTTTCCAAAATGGTTGAACCATTTTACAGTCCTCCTAGCAATGTATGGGAATTCCAGTTGTTCCACATCCTAAATAACATTTGGAGAATTCAAACTTTTTCATTTTAGTTACCGTATTTTTACACAAATAAGCAACTTCTACATTTGTTTGCCAATTCCTCCTCCCCTGCCCCATCATGAGGTATTTTTGTTAAGCATGCTATGCTAATTTTTTTACAGCAACATGTAAAAAAAATTGGCATAGTGGCCAGCACTTACGAAAATACCTCACTGGAGAGGAAAGGGTTGGCAAACAAACGTAGAAGGTGCACATTATTTGTATAAAAATATGGTATTCTACTAGATTTGAAATAGTATCTCATTGTGGTTTTAATTTGCATTTTCCTGATAACTAATGATATTGAACACCTTACTTACTGGTCATTTGTACATCTTTTTTTTTTTTTTTAAAGCATTTTTTCAAGTCTTCTGCCAATTTTTTATTTTGTATTTTTCTTGACTTTTATAAGTTCATTATATATTCTGGACATAATTCTTTTGTCAGATATATGTATTATGACAATTTTCTTTCAATATATAATATGCCTTTTCATTTTCTTAATGGGCTGTTTTGAGGATCAAAAGTTGAAGATGACTTTATTAATAATTTTCTTTTAGGTTATTGCTTTCTATGACCTGTCTAAAATAAGCAAATAAATACATAACTGCCTCTTTCTAATTCACAAAGATATTCTCCTATGTTTTTCTCCAAAAGTTTTACTGCTTTAGATTTTATGTTTCTGCTCATGACTCACCTTGAATTAATTTTTGTGTATCATGTGTGATACAGGTCGAAGTTAGTTTTTTTAATTAATTTATTTTGACATGCATATATACCATTATTTCAGAACCATTTTCTGAAACAAACGTTCCTCTTCCCACTGAATACCTTTGCACCTATTTAAAAAGTGCAAATCAATAGACTACTAAATGTGGGTTTATTTATTTTTGGTGTGAGTCCCGTAACTTGGTTCTTCTTTTTCAAAATTTTCAGCTCTACTAGATCCTTTGTTTTTCCATATCAATTTTATAATTAAATTGCCAATTCCCATAAGGAATAGTTTTTCAGGGATTTTTTTTTCATTGCAATTGCATTGAATCTAAAATTCAGTTTCAGGAGCATTGACATCTAATATTACTAAATTTTAAAATCCCTTAACACAGTATACCTCTCTATTTAGGACTTCTTTAATTTCTCTCAGTAATGACTTTCACTTTTATAGGTCTTGTATATCTCTTGTTAAATTTAGTCCTATTTTATATTTATGATGACACTGATTTTTTTAAATGTGAATTTCTGTTGTTTGCTGCTAGTATAAAAATATAATTGACCTTTGTATATTACCCTTTTAACCTGCAAACTTTCTAAATTCACTTTTTAATTCTAGTTGTAATTTTATAAATTCTTAGGATGTTCTATGTTCACAATCAGGTCATCCAAGTACAAAGACAATTTCATTTCTTCCTTTTTCAATCTTTATGCCTTTTTTATTGCCTTATTGTACTGGTTTGGATATATAGTGCAATGTTGGATAAAAGTGGTAAGAATAGGCATTCTGCCTTGTTCTTAATCTTAAGAGGAAAGCATTTATTATTTCACTACTAAATATGATTTTATCAGATTCAGGTAGTATCCTTCTATTTCCAGTTTTTCTCTGTCATCAGAGAATACCTTTAGTCATATTTTAATCTTCTGAAATTTATTGAGACATATTGTATGCCCCAGTATATGGTCTGTCTTGATGAACAAGTCAAATAGGTTGAAAGTATTTTTTTATCTAGTTAAATCAATTACCTAAAGAAAGGTTTTAAAATTTCCAATATGATTCTAGTGATTGTAGACTTGTATATTTCTCCTTGGAATTTTATCAGTTTGAGCTTAATGTATTTTGAAGCTATGTAGTTAGGCACATACACATTTAGGATTGTTAAGTCTTACTAATGACTTGGCACTTTCTCTCTTTATCTCTGTTAATACTCTTTGTATTGAACTCTATGTTATTTGATATTATTACAGTTACCCCAGCTCTCTTACACTTACTGTTTGTCTGGTATGTATTTCTTTCTATCCATTTACTTTCAACTTATATTTTTATATCTAAAGTGCATATCTTGAGTTCCTACTATATACTCCAGTAGCAACTTGGCAGCTTGGAGATAATTTCCTCCAGATGTTTCCTGGACTGGGCTGGGCTGCAACCACCTCAGCCCGAGAGGGAATTGTGGAGGTCCACAAGGACAGGAGGGTCAGGGCTCACAGAACAGCATGAAATATCAAAGTGACTGAAATGCTGGAGCTCTTGGTTATAGCTGGGCATTTCAGAGAAAATTCTACTTTAGGTCAAAATAATTAGCAGGTGAAATGAACCATAGGAACAAAAGAAGAAATGGCAATGATATCTGCTATTAGTAGGCTTCCAGTTAACCCCAAGACACATAAGCATTTCTAGCTGAGACCAATAGAGCCACCCAGCTGTGCAGAGGCCACATTGCCCAACTCCCAGGTTTCCTCTTGCTTGTATGCGCAAGCCTAAGTAAGACTAGCAGATCTGCCCATCTCAGCCATAATCAGCTGACCCCAGCCAAAATGTAGATTCATTGTCTAAAAGATCAAGCTTTTCACTGAGCTGGATAAGACCTCATCTCCCATTACCCAGTGAGTAATCTCCAAATTGAAGAGGAGTTCAAGTGGCCCAATATTCCTGTATCTTTGAGAAGGGTATCCAGCATCTAATAACCTTAAGATTATCATTCTGAACCGCAACACCATGAAAGGCTTCTATCATAAAACATTTAATCACCTGTAGGAAGAGTTTGAAAATCATGCTTTCCTTGCTCACATTTGAACCGCACATTCTTTAAACTTGTTGTTATTGTTGCTGCTAGATGTCATTGTATTAGTTCCAACTTATAGTGACCCTATGTACAACAGAAGAAAACACTGCCTAGCCCT